TGATCCTGGAGTCCCGGGATCGAGTCCCGCATCGGGCTCCCTGCTCAGCGGGGAGTCTGCTTCTCCCTTTGACCCTGCCCCCTCTCATGTGCTCTCTCTCTCTCTCATTCTCTCTCTCAAATAAATAAATAAAATCTTAAAAAAAATTAAAATTAAAGAATATATATGGCACCAGTAAATGGTGTAGGAGTAGATAGAGGTGGCTTAGAGGATGAGCCCAAAAGATTTTGTAATAATGTTTGAGGTTCACATAAAAGTTCTATTTTTGGAGGCTTGGGGCAGTACTTAGCAGTGTCACTGTGGTGCCCCTTGTATTCTGTTCTTGTGTCCTCCTGGTGAGTCAGAGCAGTCCCTGTTTAGTGGGGGTAAGGTGCTGGGACCCTCAGCACGGGGCCCAGATAACACTGAGGTCTACAAGGAACTGGAAATACAGCGAGCAGTGCAGATAGGAGCCTGGGGAATGCCCAAACAAGCTCGCTTCTCCATGGACCTCACTGAGAATTGGGAAGTTTGGATAGAAATGGAGGGGGAATTGGGGGAGGTCCTTATAAGCTGAGGAATGATGGTTGGCCTCTCTCAGCCACAGTTTCCTCATCTATAAAACAAGAATAGGAATGTCTATATTTTGGGGTTGTGAGAATTAATTGAAAGGATGTATGTGAAATTGTCAGGTACTTACATACAAAACATTGTCTCTTGATTAACATAACAATAAAAAAACATTGTCTCTGTAATTCCTAGGTGACTTGCCACCTGCATTCAAATTCACCTCATTTATTGATGGGCCTCTCTTGTGGCCATGAGAATGTTTTGTGCCTTGGATGGTTTGGAACGTTAGGAGTCTGAGCGGGAAAGAGCGGGTGAAGTCCATTATTCTTGGGCCTGGGGGCAATTTCCAAAAAATGATTCTGGCTGTCAGAATTTATGAATGTGTTAATGCGTGCCTTTGTATCTTTACTTGTTAACAGTGATGGGCAGATGGTGGATGTCCCTCCATTGCCTGTTCTTCGGGCTCTGATTGGTCCATTGGCCGCTTTGCTTTAGGCAGATAGGGCAGAAGCGAATTTCTCTATAAGAAGAGATTGGATCACTGTGCCCTCAGCTTAAGCCTACCAGTGACTTTATGTTTTTCCTTCTAGGTCTGCTGACATTTGTGAACTGTGCTTATGTCAAGTGGGGCACACGTGTTCAGGACACGTTCACTTATGCCAAGGTCCTAGCGCTCATTGCCATCATTGTCATGGGCCTCGTTAAACTGTGCCAGGGTAAGATGGGCCTGGGCTGGGAAGGAGGGTGGATGACTCTGGGAGTTAGCCTAGATTTCCTAAGGAGGACATGGGGAATCTTGGCTTTACTGATTAGCTCTTTCTGTGTATATTGTAGACTGTCAGTGAGAACAAGACATCTGTTCCTGGGCTCCTTGGGCCAGGCTGGCTTGGCCAGCTGAACATGAGTCAGTCACTCCCTCAGGGCTGCTTTCCCTGTGTGGAGGCTGGGAACATTGCAAGAAGGCAGCTGGGAGCCCAGGAGTTTTTGAAACCTGGATCTTGTGTAATTGGATCATAAATGTAGCTGGTGGGGATAGAGTGAGCCCTGCTTGGCCCTGTTTTTGGTCTGTGACTGCCAGGCAGTGAATAGGAAAACCTGGCCGTCCTTGAGAGGAGTGGGTAGGTGTGTATGTGGGGTAGATGGAGTATAGAAATGAGTGGTTATTTTGCAGCCTTTACTTTTCATCTGGATTTGCTTTTATTTAACATTCGGTCTCAAAGTCAGCTCTCAGCAAAATAATAAAATGGTATGAAGTTGGCATTGACTTTCCTGCATGTTGGCTTTAGAAAGCTTTTCATTCCTGAACCGGAGTAGACTGGCAGTGAGGATAGACAAGGTCTCCTGAGCTCTTAGGGAAGTCTTGAGGTATCTTTGGCCAAGGAGATCTCAGTCATTCTCTAGATTGCCTGACACTAAACTCAGCCATGTTTACATTTACCAGGGAGAGCTGAGACCCCCATCTCAGATTCATTGGATTAAACACAAAATGGTTTTGGAGTTCAGAAAGCTCTGTCTGTCTTGGCAGCTGGTCCAGTACCTTTGTGAACTTGTGCCAAGTTAGTACAGCCAGCCACCTCGATGTCCTTGAGTCTCAGGAACATCTTGGGGTCAACTAGGGTAGCTGAGTTATGCTCCTGTCAAGATCTGTGCCTTAATTGCTGTGTATGATGACTGACACGCTTGAGGCATGAAAACCTCTATTTTCCCTTCTCTTGCTGCATACCCAGCCCTTTTTGACACATTGAAGGAATAGGTCTACTTTTTGCAGGGGGTGATGGCAGCCTTCCTTATAAATCTGGATCTTGTTAAAAACCTCCAGTGTGTCCAGCAGGTCTCTCTCCTGGGCAGGCAGGTGCTGCTCCCTTGGCTTTCAAGTGTGTGGTCTCCAGAGGCCTCTAAAGAGAATGACAGGTGCCTAGGCTGGCCCTCTAAGGGTGGAAGTGGCTCAGGGCTACCCCAGGCCTAGTGAGAGATAAGAAGACCTCAGTTCTTACATAGCCTGTGATTTCCTGCCACATGCAACTGCAGCCTGTGCAAGTAGAGCAACAGAATTCTCTTCATGAGAATGAGAAAACTATTTGACCAAATTGTGCGGTGGTTTTGTCCACAAGACACAGTTCCACAGGAAGGCCTAATTGTTAATTAAAAATACCTCCTTTATGTGAAACAGGGTTCTTTCTAAAAATAGGAAGAAGAGCTCTGGCCTACTGTGAGGTCACTTAGAAATTCATTAGAGCTTTTCTGGAAAAGGTGTTATCACTTCAGAAAGCCGCCAGGAATGCCTGTGTTTTTCTGAGATTGCATAGTTTGCTAGAGGAATATGCACTTTTTTTTTAAAGATTTTATTTATTTGACAGAGAGAGACACAGCGAGAGAGGGAACACAAGCAGGGGGAGTGGGAGAGGGAGAAGCAGGCTTCCCGCGGAGAAGGGAGCCTGATGCGGGACTCGATCCCAGGACCCTGGGACCATGACCTGAGCTGAAGGCAGATGCTTAATGACTGAGCCACCCAGGCGCCCCGAGGAATATGCACTTTCTGGAGGGAATGGTTGGGGTGATAAAGTACGGGGAGAGCTGGTGGTTGTTCTTTTGATGTTAAATTATGTTTTTTTTCTTCCCTCTGCCTGCTTGCTTTTCCCTTCTTTTCTTGACCCTCCTCTCTTTTTCCCCATCTTCGCTTCCTTTTTCTTACTGCCTCTCCCTGTTTTTCTCCTTATACCTTCCATCTCTCCCCTCCTTCTTCTTCCTCTTCCTTTTCACTGAACCCCTTCTTCCCCTGCCTGCCTTTGTCCCCACAGGACACTCTGAGCACTTTCAGGACGCCTTTGAGGGTTCCTCCTGGGACATGGGAGACCTCTCTCTTGCCCTCTACTCTGCCCTCTTCTCTTACTCAGGTTGGGACACCCTTAATTTTGTAACAGAAGAAATCAAAAACCCAGAAAGGTAACGGTGGGATCACACTCTTCTTACTCCCCAACTTGGCTGGAACTCCTGCTGATAGTGGGCACACTTGCCCTCTTCCCTCCCCTTTCTCTTTCTCTCATCCCTTCTTCCTCTCCCTCCTCCTCCTTCTCTAACTCAGAGAGATTAGGGGCTAGGTTGGGAACGAGTGAAGGTGGGAAAGCCCCTTGCTCCTCACCCTCGGGGTACACTGGAGGATCCCCCAGGTCCTTGCTCGCGGAGAGATCCTCCAGTGGGCAGTAGCTGACCCAGCTCGGGCTAAGGTGTTAGAACCTTGTGCTCTGGTGCTAACACTGAAGCCTGGGGAGCCAGAAGCTTATTCTGGGCAGTCAGGTTCCCAGCCTGGCCTCCAGTCCCTGAAGGACACTGCTCCTCCTTCCGTGGGACCCATTGGTCCTCTTTTGGCAAGGATGAAATATTGAGCCCCAGCTATTTTCACAGAGAAGGGTCGGTCTCTCTCTCTTTCTCTCTGTTTCTCAGCAGAAAGGAGCATGGGATTCATAACCCCCCCTAGACCATGTGGGAAAGGGGAGCCTGCCTCAAAGACTTAGAGCCAGGGAACTGTTAAATTTTTGAAAAATCCCTGGGTGAACTTTGACTCCAAAGAGAGTTGATTCTAGATAGTCCTATCTCACTTGTCCTGACAGAAATTTGCCCCTGGCCATTGGGATTTCTATGCCAATTGTGACGCTCATCTACATCCTGACCAATGTGGCCTATTACACAGTGCTGAGCATTTCAGATGTCCTTGACAGTGATGCCGTGGCTGTGGTGAGTCCCCATTTGCTCATCATCTTATAATACTGAAGGGCTCAGTCTCTCTCTAAGCCCCGCCGGTGCTGCAGGGTGAGATGATGGGTCCAGGCTAGAGGGCGGGCTGCTCGGCAGTGACGGTGTTTGTCCTGACAGCGTAGGTACAGGTGGCTTATGAAACCCTGTCCTGTGCTGAGGGACTTCTGTGCTCTGTCCCCAGACATTTGCTGACCAGACATTTGGCATGTTCAGCTGGACCATTCCCATTGCTGTTGCCCTGTCCTGCTTTGGGGGCCTCAATGCATCTATCTTTGCTTCATCAAGGTAATGTGTTTCTGCTTTACCAATAACAGACTGCAGTATTTAATCTTCTGAGGCTCCAGGTGAGCCCATTAGAGCCCTTCTTTCTCTTAGATGTGTACAGGGTGTGTGTGTGTGTGTGTGTACACTTGTGTGCATGCATCAGCTGGCCTTTGTGCAGACATTTGTATGCTTGAAGCTCATACTTCCATCTGAGGCGATGATGGATTGGTGAGAGGCAGAGGGGAGGAAGGTTATAGCTTGGAGTAGAGAAGATTATTAGTGATCACTTGCCGTGTACCAGGTATTGGTACAGGGTGACTCTGCCCCTCACTTCACAGAAATCACCGAAGCTGACAGGCAGGCTCTGTTCTCCTCTCTTGGTAGATACTTCTCTATAAGAGCGTTTGTCCTTCCTGTTGTTTCAGAGAAAGGAGCAGTTCTGCTTTTCCAGGCTGACTGCTACCTGGTTTCAGGGTCCCAGCACTACCCCTCTTCTTAGCACATGGCTTCGTCACTTGGCCCTTCTCTTTGGTGGATTTCAGTAGGAGCCAGCTCTGCACAAGTGTCTCTCATCTCCGCTCAGTGAAGTCACAAACCAGCTTTTCTCATCTCCCTTCTTCCTTTCTGGACACACTTCTTCAGAGAATGGTCTGCATTTTGACTGCCACTTATTTTCTAGCCATTATACTTTGACTGCTACTACCTAAAAAATATTCTTATTAAGTGTACCTGTGATCTCCTTCTTAGCCTGCTTGTAGTCCTTATCCTCCTGGACCCCTGAAGCAAGTGATGCTTACCGCCCTCTGCTTCTGAAACTATTCCTGTGACTCTGTAACACTCTTGATATTTGAGAGGAAGGCTTCTTTCCTGATTTCTCTTTCACTCACCATATAAATGTTGCTGTCCCCAGGGCTGGGAGGGTAATAGGCATTCAGTAACTATTTTCTACGTGAACAGGTAAGAGGATGAATTAATAAAAGAAATAATTTTTTGTCCTATTTATTTTTCTTTCTTTTATTTTTTTAAAGGGAACTTTTTTTTTTTTTAAGATTTTATTTATTTATTTGACAGAGAGAGACATAGCGAGAGAGGGAACACAAGCAGGGGGAGTGGGAGAGGGAGAAGCGAAGCAGGCCTCCCGCTGAGCAGGGAGCCCAATGCGGGGCTCGATCCCATGACCCTGGGATCATGACCTGAGCTGAAGACAGACGCTTAACGACTGAGCCACCCAGGCGCCCCTGTCCTATTTGTTTTTCTTACTGGTTTTGACACCATAGTCCATGTACTTGGGGCCTCCCTCGGGTAACCAGAGTAATAGAGAGATCAAATTCTTGGAAAACAGTGTGGTATCTTACCTTACTTCAACCTGGTACGGCCAGGGTTGCACTGGATGTGACCCTTAACAAGTTACCCTACCCAAAGATGGTGTTTCCCATAGCCTTACCCTTATCAATGCCCAAGACATTCCAAATGGCTCTGTCAATCTTCTTAAAATACTTACCACAGTAGGTGCGTTTTAAGCTCACTCAGCTGTGTTGTGGCATTGACCGGATGGGGGTGGGCATAGGGGATTCAGAGCGTAAGAGTCTGGACCAGCACACAAGGGGTCTGCAGTGATGTGGAGGTAATGTACAATTGTTTCTGTGTTAACTTCTCGCTTTTTCTTTTATTACCTATGTAGTTGTTTTTGGCTTTGTACTAGACACTTTTGCTCTGCTTGCACATTATCCCCTTCCAGCATCCCCTCTACCATATTTCTTCTCTGCCCAGTGCAGATTATTATTATTTTTTAAAGATTTTATTTATTTGAGAGAGAGAGAATGAGAGATAGAGAGCACGAGAGGGAAGAGGGTCGGAGGGAGAAGCTGACTCCCCGCTGAGCAGGGAGCCCGATGTGGGACTGGATCCTGGGACTCCAGGATCATGACTTGAGCCGAAGGCAGTCGCTTAACCAACTGAGCCACCCAGGTGCCCTGCCCAGTGCAGATTATTATTATTATTATTTTTTTTTAAATGGGGGGTTTCTTTTTTTTTTAAATGTTTTATTTATTTATTCATGAGAGTCAGAGAGATAGAGAGAGAGAGAGAGGCAGAGGCAGAGGGAGAGAGAGAAGCAGGCTCCCTGCAGAGCAGGGAGCCCGATGCGGGACTCGATCCCAGGACTCTGGGATCATGACCTGAGCCGAAGGCAGACGCTTAACCATCTGAGCCACCCAGGCGCCCCCCAGTGCAGATTATTAACCTGTGAGCCAACTCCCACCATCTTGCCCTACGACCTTTCCAGATGCTATCATCAACTCCTGTGGCTCCATCTGGATGGCTCACAAGTATCTCAGTGCACTCCACTTGTGCTTTGTCTTTAGTTGTGTTATTATGTGCTGTCGAGTCTCCTTGCTTGGCCTCTTTATTTTTCCCTTGGTGTTCATCCTCTTCTCCCAGCTCAAAAATGTACATGCATGCACACACACATACATACACACTCACATGCAAAGGATCACCAGATTTGATTGAGGTGGTCACATCTGTCTTGTTTTCTCTTCAGCCAGGGTGTCTACCCTCATTCAGGCCTCCTCTCTTATAGGACAGTTATCACAGATTACTTTTTTTTTTTAGATTTATTTATTTGGGAGGTGGGGGGAGGGGCAGAGGGAGAGAGTCACAAGCAGACTCTGTGCTGAGCACGGAGCATGATGCAGGGCTTGATCCCATGACCCTGAGATCATGACCTGAGCCCAAATCAAGAGTTGGAGGCTTAACTGACTATGCTACCCAGGCACCCCACGGATTACTTTATCTGGCCTTCTCCCTGTACCGTAGCCTCTCCCTGCTTTAGTTGGCCTCCATGATGCCACCAGCGTCTCTGTGTCAAATCCTGTCAGGCCTTTACTTCAGAGCCACAGCAGGCTCTCAGTGTTCGTTCAGACTCCACAGCATGGCCTCATGTGCAGGTTCTTCCCAGCTGTTTCCTCACACACCCTAACCTGGGACTGTAGGCATTCTAGTACCAACCTCAAGGAGGCCACCCTCTTCCACTCCTTCAAGCCTCTTTTGCCTTTGCCTACGCTGTTTCCCACCCATGTGCTCACCTTCTGGCAAACTCCAGTTCTTCACAGCCCAGATGTGGTCATCTCTTGTGAAGTTTTCTGTTCCCCCAGCCCACCCCCAAGCCTGGTGAGTGCTTTGTGCTCCATGATGATGCTGACTACCCTGGCTGGCAGTTCATTTCTCTCTTGCTCTGTTTCTCAAACAGTAGGGCTCTTTAGAGACAGAGGAACCCTGGGTTGTCTCTGAGCCCCAGGCTTGTCCTGGTGTATCATGTATCAGCAGCTCAGGGAAGTTATATAGAGAGCACAACAGAAGGCTGGCTGCCCTTCTTTAAAAAGCCATTGTGTTAAGTATGAAATCTGTGGGGTGGCAGAGTGGGAGTACCCCTGATGGAATGGATTGGGGTGGCAGTGAGTGATGGCAGGGTGAGGCATCCATTGGTTGATGGTGGGTTTCATAGCTGAGGGGCTCAGGGGTGTCCATGGCCAACAGAGGGGTAGGGCATTCCTGGATAACGTTGAAGTACCCATGGTTGGAGGTTGGAGACGTCTATGGGACAAAGTTGAGGGGTGAGGGAGGGTGGGTGGGATACTCCTGAGAGACTGACTGCCTCCTGTGTTTTTCTGGAGCTCTGAGCCTAGTTTGTCAAGTGAGGAGTGTGGCTATATGGCCAAGTGAAAGGATCATCCTGACACACTTCTTATCCTTCTAGGTTGTTCTTCGTGGGCTCCCGTGAGGGCCACCTCCCGGATGTTCTGTCCATGATCCACATTGAACGTTTTACACCCATCCCTGCTTTACTGTTCAATGTAAGCTCTGCTGGGGGAGTGTGGAGAATTGTAGTACTCCTGCTGACTTTATGAGACAACTATGGGTGGGAGGTATACTAGCTTAAGATATTTCCCAAGCCTCTCAGTGTTTCTTCTTTTTTCTTAAATTTTTAAAAAATATAAAAGTAAAACATAGGAGAGAAGGCAAATTGTACAAAAGAATATAAAAATAAGTTTGTGAGATTTATTTTCATTTATTTTTGAAAGATTTTATGTATTTATTTATTCTATTTATTTATTTAGAGAGTGTGAGCAGGGGGGAGGGGGAGGGGCAGTAGGAGAGAGAATCCCAAGCAGACCCTGCACTGAGTGCAGAGCCCGATGCAGGGCTCCATCTCACGTCCCTAAGATCATGACTGAGCCAAAATCAAGAGTTATTAGATACTTAACTGATGGAGCCACCCAGGCACTCCTAAATTTTTTTTAAGTAGGCTCCACACCCAATGTGGGCTTGAACTCATGACCCTGATATTAAGAGTCCCATGTTCCACTGACTGAGCCAGCCAGGTGCCCCTGCTTTTTTTTTTTTTTTTTTTAACTTTAATTAAATCATATTTAGAAGAGCCAGGCCAGTTGCATACCAACTACCTAGGGACTTCTTTTCATATTATAGACTTTATAGATTTCTTTTTTTAAAGATTTTAAGTTATCTCTACACCCAACATGGGGCTTGAACTCACAACCCTGAGATCAAGAGTCACATGCTCCACTGAGGAGCCAGCCAGGTGCCCCTAGATAATCATAGATTTATATATATTAGATGGTGCTTCATATGTGCCAAGTACAATTATATACTCCTTAAATAGTTTTCATCAGCTCAACCCTTCCTCGCCATTAGTATCAAGCTTCATTATTTAGCTTTATACTGAATTTCTGCAATCTAAAGACGATTAAGGATACTTCTTTAGTTTCTTCTTACCCCTGGAATTTTCCTGGCAATTATCACGTTTGTGTTTATCATTATGAACTTTGTATTTTGTCAAAATAACAGAAATCCTCTCAGTATATTGATTGGAATAGCACTGAATTTATAAATTTAGGGTAGATTTGACATCTTGTCTTTTAATCATCTCCCCAGTTTTCCCAATACGGTCCCCCTTCTTTCCCTAGAATGGGCCCTTTTTGTTTTAAACCCTTTGTTGATAATCTGGGTGAAAAGATTAGGTGGGGGAACTCCATATTCTTGAAGTTTAAGTAAATCTGACCATGTCACAGGACTCTAGTCCCTGACTTGTCTTCTAGGACTCTTTTGTTCTAGAGGTCAAATTCTGTCATACCTCTCTTATCAGGGGTATAGATCCATTTTGTCAATCTGCATTTCTAAGACTCCCAGGACAATGAGATGGTTCTGGAGGCATTTACTCAGTTTGTATGCCAGGTAGCTGAGACTCAGGAGTATTGGTATCCAGAGGGGAAAGTGATTTATATTGAGGTTGGTGCATCAAAGTGAGGAGGGCCTCACTGTCTGCCATCAGGAGAAAGGAGTCTGGCTTGTTATTAAAGTGCTTGCAAAAAGAAGGGAGGCATTGTGTGTAGGAAGGGCCCCCAACAGAAGAGGGAGAGATGCCACCTTGAAGGTTAATACAGAGATTAGACCTATCTGATGCCAAGGGGTCAATGGAAAGAACTGGAGGTAACCTGGTAAGCTAAATCAGCGGTGAGCAGCAGATCTGGTACTGATTGCTGGGTGGTTGGAGTCTCCTGGGGTGGCCTGGTGGTAACAATGCCCACTCCTCCTCCCATCCCGTCCCCTTCCAGTGTACCATGACACTCATCTACCTCACAGTGGAAGATGTTTTCCTGCTCATCAACTACTTCAGCTTCAGCTATTGGTTCTTTGTGGGCCTGTCTGTTGCTGGACAGCTCTATCTTCGCTGGAAGGAGCCTGAGCGACCCCGGCCTCTCAAGGTCAGTGACTCTGGACAGACTAGGAGGGATGGGCCATCTCCCCACCGTGACTTCTCTAAACCCTGTTCCCCCATAGCACTTTTACCTAATATCTCACCTCCCTTCATTTCAGCTGAGCCTGTTTTTTCCCATCGTGTTCTGCATATGCTCCTTGTTCCTGGTGATTGTGCCTCTATACGGTGACACCATCAATTCCCTCATTGGCATCGGGATTGCTCTCTCTGGGATTCCTGTCTACTTCGTGGGTGTTTACTTGCCCGAGTCCCAGAGGCCAGTCCTTATTCGAAATGTCCTGGGTGAGCTTTTTTGCCCGTTATTCACAGCGTGTGTGTGTGTGTGTGTGTGTGTGTGTGTGTTGTGCGCAGATGCATGCAGAGGTGGGAGTGGTGGCTGACAGCTGCCCCTATACTAGTGATGTGCTAGAGACCATGAGACCTGGTTGCTCCACATGACTTCTTCCCTTTTGATCTTTTTTTTTTTTAAAAGATTTTATTTATTTGAGAGAGAGAGAATGAGAGATAGAGAGCACGAGAGGGAAGAGGGTCAGAGGGAGAAGCAGACTCCCTGCTGAGCAGGGAGCCCGATGTGGGACTCGATCCCGGGACTCCAGGATGATGACTTGAGCCGAAGGCAGTCGCTTAACAAACTGAGCCACCCAGGCACCCTTCCCTTTTGATCTTGACATGAGCACTTTAGTTCTAACTTTAGAGTCCTATTTTTGGGTTAAAACACTCGCTTTTAAAAGTGTAATCCATGTGGGAAGACGAGGAGTCATGCATTACTTTCTGGTTGGGCACATAATGAAGGACAGTGAGGCTTGCTGGTAGTAAGAGGCAAAGCCTGGTGCAGGATACCCAGGGGACAGGTGGGAGGGAGCCACAGATCTGCTTTAATCAACTTTGGGGTGTTCATATTGAGGTTGTAGTTGTCAGCTTGCTGAATTCTGTTCTCTATTTTCATTTAGCTGCTGTCACCAAAGTCACCCAGCAGCTTTGCTTTTGCGTCCTGACTGAGCTTGATGTAGCTGAAGAAAAAAAGGTTGAGAGGAAAACGGACTAGAGGCCAGAGGTGATGTCTCTTGAGGCCTGGAAGGCCAACCAGCCACCAAAGTCCAGATGACAAGACTGCAGGCCCACCCCTCTTGTTCTAAAGGAGTTTGGTGTCCCACATTGTATAAGGGGGGCTCAGGGCTGATGGCCTGCTCTGGTGGTCACTCTCATTGGTAAGCTACGGGAGACTCAGGTTCTGAGGCAAGCCTGAAGGTGGGAACTTTAGAGAGGGTGGTGGTGGGGAGGGCTTCGTCAGGGGAATAGTTGTTTAGTTTTATTCCTGGTGAGTAGGTACAGCTTACCAAACACTTGGCAAACTGCACTGGGAGAAGAGGGAGTGCTAGGTTAATAGATGTAGCTGGTGGTTCTGAATTTGTTATTTGAGGTTTGAATCAGGAGCCTCTACAAGGGGGCTGCTTTATGGGAAGATTTCCTCTGATGGTCCAAGCACTGACTCTAGAGGCCTGAAATGCTACCATTTCTTCCTCTGACTCAAAATCTTTCCCTGGGAAGACAGTTGTATTTCATTATTTATTGATATTTAATCCAGGACACCAATTCTAGCAGAGCACTGGTGTTCATTCATCTACAGGATGCAAAAAGCTGATTGTGTTTTTAAAAACTCAAAGTACCCCCAACCGAGTCCCTCTGCCCTTAGAGGTGTCTGTGTGTGGTGGGTCAGCCTCTGATCACAGATGTTTTTTTGCTTGGTTTTACGCACAATCTTCTGTTGAGTCTTAGCTGCAAAGGTGAACTTTAAAGATTTTTTTTTTTACTCACGTATTGGTTACACTTTAGTTAGTAGGTCACAGATTATAAGCACCTGGCTCAAATCAGCAAGGACGAATGAACAAATTCATGAGTCAGAAGTCTGATAATACTGCTATTCTGAAAGATAATCCCTTATTTTACTTGAGACCTCAGGTCCTTATTCTAGATGATAGAAGGTAAATCTCTGGTTTCTGGTATGAACTTTAGGAGGACATAAAACTGTTTTAGAATTCAAGTGGATTACCTGGATTCTCTCAGCCGTTCAATGGCTTAGAGAACATCTCATGGACTCAAGCCACCAAATAGCTTGTTTCTGTCAGGGCTGGTGTGAGGAACTGCTGTGCAGACCCACGCAAGCCCACCTTGGTGCTAGAAGTGGTCATTTCCGTTTTCCAAAAACCTCACACCAGACTGCATCCTCCTCTTCTGTCCCCGACACTGGGCTTCGTTTACACTCTGAACTATCTTGGTGTGGATCATCAGGATAGTGCATTCCTGTCCTGTCTGCCTCCCTTTGCTGGAGGTCTGGTGGGCCTGCAGTCTCAGGAAGAGCTTGGTACTTGTGTGGACTTCTATTTTCTCCCTTTGGAGGTCAGAGAAGATTTTGGGGGACAAAGCTGCTTCAACCTCAATCTGGCTCCTCAGCAGACTGCATGATTGGAAGCAACTAATTCTGGTGCTCAGGGTGTGCGTTAGCATCCAAGTCAGGCCTAATGGATGTGGGCAGCCATGGTTGCAGTGGACTGTACAACTGTCCAGACTTCACCCAGGAACCCTTCTGTGGGAGGGAATCCAGAGACTCCCTACTGTCATCCTGGGTCCAGAGGAACCTGCGGACTTGGCTAACCCCATGGCTGGACTTCTTATCCTTTCGTTTTAGAACTGGTCAATGGTAAAGACAAGAACTATGAGGCAATCTCCCTTTCTGAACATTCTTTTCCATCAAATGACCAGGGCAGTAACCTTGGCCATACTTGTTCAATAAAGACAGTTTAGGGGAGCATGATCACAGCTGCCTTCCGTTCAGGGCATGCATGGATGAGAAAATGAGGGGACATTCCTACTGTCATGGGTTGGGGATTTGCACAGCAAATTCCTTCCTGGCAACAGGGAGTCTTATGCAAAGGCTGACTTGCCTGGAGTATGTAAACATGACTCCTGTCTGAGCCAAGATGGCACCTATCCCAGGGATCCTCTGGAGCTAATCCTTTAAGCAGAGTGTGCTTGTCTTAAGGATACCTGACCCAGGTTTTGGCTTTCTCCACTGAAGCAAATGACCAGCTAATCCCAGGAACTTGCTGCCCCCCAGTGGCTCCCGGGAGAAGCACGGGCCTCACACCCTAAGTGCCCCAGGACAAGCTTAGTGAGCCATGTCATCCTCCTCTCATTACTGGATGGCAACCACATTCTTCCCCTCTGTGCTGGATACAGACTTCACCCAGGAACCCTTCTGTGGGAGGGAAGCCAGAGGCTCCCTACAGCACTCAAGCTTCATGGTGGAATTAAATTTCTGCAAGGTCTTTGTTGTTCGTCTCCTTCAATCCTTCTCCTGGTGTGCTAATCCCTTTTGCAGTAGGTACAGTATGTGAGGTTGTCAGCCCTTTAATGTTGGCAAACTTTAACGAGTACATAAACAGCAGTGAGCACATTATAATGGCACGGAGTGGTTTTTAATCCTTTGTTTCTATGCCTACAGAAGACTAAGATGACTACTATTAGACATATAAATTGCTGCCTGTTGCAACACTGAATTGTACCTTTGTGGATAGCTAGGATAGTTTCATTGGTTTTCTTAACTGCAAGAGCCTGAGGATGTGAACATAC